AATCCAGTATGGTATTTATTTAACTTGAAGTTTAAGGAACTAAGTCATTAAGAGCCAGCAGGCTTGAAAGAATCAGGTTAAAGCCAGAACAAATTTGTTAAAAAAATTTAATAAATCTATTTGAATTTTGATTATTTGAAATTTCTTTTTCTCTGGCTATGGGAAATATTTTAATTTCTTTGTGCTCTTTCCATTAGAATACCCTTCAATCAATCTGGTTTTGGTTACTTATACAGAAAAGTCTGGAGATATACAATTCCCTTTCCATTGTTCTAGAAATATTAGTTTCCAATATTAGTTTCTAAAATGGAACATTATAGTTTTATATTTAAAAAGAAAAGTTCTTATCAAAATATAGCTAAAATTGTTTATTTGTAATGATTTTATTGAATAATAAAAATGTAAGACATAAAAATACAGACCAAAGTTCTTCAATTTTTTTTCTGTCATTTTTCTTTATTAAGAAATTTTCTACTCACTCCACATACTATCCACAGATTCCCCCTCCTCCTTCCTCCCACCCCCTAGCCCTCTTTCCCAAGGCACCCCGCATCCCCACATCCCCCAAATTGAGACATCCCCTGGGGTGTGGGCAGAGCCCAGCACACTGAGCGAAGGAAGGTCCAAGCCCCTTCCCACTGCACCAAGGCTGTGTGTGCAAGGTGTCATTTCTACAAGTAGCTACCTAAGCAATAAAAAGAAAAGTGACTTCCTTTAAAATTGATGTTTTCAAGATTTTGGTGATTTGTATAAGAAAATTAACCAAAAAAGTTGAATCTAGAAATGACAATTCTTTGGATAATTTTATGATGATATTTTAAATGATAAGAACAGTAATAACTCAAGTGTAACCATTAGTAATATTCCTTGTTCTCTAGGCTAAGGGAGAATGCAGTATCTACATCCTTTGTCTACATTGTTATTGTTTGCATCCAGAATTCTGCACAGTGGGCTTCCTCGAAGCAAAGACAGATGACATCCCTTCCTGCCTTTGAATTCAGATGGAGCCCGATGACTGGTTAATTCTCTCTCCAGTAAACTGCTAGCAAGTGTGATATATCCCAAGTTCCAGTTGAAGTGAATAGGAAACAGGTATGTTTTTCCCACATTCTTTCCATTGTTTCAAGCCTGGACACGAAGACTGCAGTAATAGCTTTAAAGAATGACTGTAGGAGAGACAGGCCTGAACCCAGCAAGACTGCTTAGCTCAAAGCTTGTACTAATTCACACTAGATGATGAAATGAGCCTGAAACAGCAGGATGTTTAGGATTTTTAAAAAAAATTAGCGCCATATTGATTTCCAAAGTGGTTGTACAAGCTTGCATTCCCACCAGCAGTGGAGGAGAGTTCCCCTAGCTCCACATCCTCTCCAGCATAAGGTGTCTTCAGTGTTTTTGATCTTAGCCATTCTGACAGGCGTAAGGTGGTATCTCAGAGTTGTTTTGATTTGCATTTCCCTGATGATTAGGGATGTTGAGCAGTTCCTTAAATGTCTTTCGGCCATTTGAGTTTCCTCTGTTGAGAATTCTCTGTTTAGTTCTATAGCCCATTTCTTAATTGGACTGTTGGGCATTTTGATGTCTAATTTCTTGAATTCCCTATATATTCTGGATATCAGTCCTCTGTCAGATGTGTGTACAGGGATCACCCAATGACAGAGAAATGGAATGAGATCTACATGAACAGCCTAGACATGAGTGGGGGTAATGAAAGGCGAGGGTTGAGGGAAAGAGAGCTTGGGGGAGCGGGAGATCCCAGCTGGATCAACAACAGAGAGGGAGAACAAGGAATAGGAGACCATGGTAAATAAAAACCACATGAGAATAGGAAGAAGCAAAGTGCTAGAGAGGCCCACAGAAATCCACAAAGATACCCACACAACAGACTGCTGGCAGAGGTCGAGAGACAGCCTGAACTGACCTACTCTGGTGATGGGATGGCCAAACACCCTAATTGTTGTGCTAGAAACCTCATCCAACTACTGAGGGATCTGGATGCAGAGATCCATGACTAGGCCCCGGGTGGATCTCTGGGAGTCCAATTAGCGAGAATGAGGAGGGTTTATATGAGCGAGAATTGTTGAGACCAAGGTTGGATAAAGCACAGGGACAAATAGCCAAATGAATGGAAACACATGAACTATGAACCAATGGCTGAGGGGTCCCCACTGGATCAGGCCCTCTGAATGGATGAGACAGTTGATTGGCTTGATCTGTTTGGGAGGCACCCAGGCAGTGGGACCAGATCTTGTGCTCATTGCATGAGTTGGCTGTTTGAAACCTGGGGCCTATGCAGGATTGTTTGGCTCGGCCTGGGAGGAGGGGACTAGACCTACCTGGACTGAGTCTACCAGGTTGACCTCAGTCTGTGGGGAAGGCTTTGCCCTGGAGGAGATGGGAATGGGGAGGGGGTTGGGGGGAAGGTGAGGGGGACGGGAGCGGGGAGAACAAGGGAATCCGTGGCTGATATGTAGAACTGAATTGTATTGCAAAATAAATTAATAAAAAAAAAAAAAATTAGCATGTCTCGAATGATGAATGAACCAATAAAAGATTGATCTATCTATAAATGTTCTATAATTAGGGAGAACTATAGGTGAAAACACTTTATGGATATAGTATTACCATGAACAACATAACGTAAGTAGTTACAGAGAATTAAGCATTCTACTTGTATCTGTGCTTTGTAAGTGATGCTGGAAAGAAAAGGAATAATTCTCTTACACTGGAATTTTTGAGTTGTGATCCATGTTTCAGGTTCAACTGTTTTAATAGCTGAATTAATTAATAAAGATACAGTTTTTTTCAGATAATATAAAAATATAAAAACTATAAAAAGTAAGATGTAAACAATTTTAAAAGATGTAAGAAACCAAATCTTGACCTTGCATGTCTGACCCCTGTTCCTTAAAGGGCTCTTGTTTAGCTGGATTAGTTATTTTAAAGATCGTATTACTCTAGCCAGAGCAGTGCTTTAGAATTTAGCACGGTCACAGGGACTTCCTCACCACTCCGTTTTAATTTTCGGTTCTGCTATAATAAAAGCCATAAATATATTGCTACTGTCTAGACGTTTTATCTGAAACAAGTGTCCTTTGTAGTCTCAAAGGACTTTTCCATTTTATTTCCAGTAAATCAAAGTATGTGAAGAGCTTCAGTTCTTATTAAGACGTACCCTTCACAGTCCAGTGACTGCCAACTGTGGCAAGCCATTGACAGTTCATTTGCATATAAGTGATGACTTCCATCAGGTAGTTGGCTCCAAAACACAATGGACATTTAGAGCAGATCCAATATTTCTTTTTCTTTGATGAGCACTAAGTGCCAATTTTTATATAGAATCTGACTATTGAAAAGTGAAGGCTTCTTTTCCTGACCTTATACTGTCTTCCACAGTTCTGGAGAGACATATTGTCAGGGGACTTAATGGAGGCCTACACTTCTAAAAAACATTCAGAAACGCTACTTTAGTTTGCTGAAAACCAATGATAGTCAAAAGTAGGAGACAGAGACGATAGAAATCATTTTTTAAAAGTATTTCTATTTTCTACCCCCATACTATATTCATAATTAAATTTTGTTTTATTTTTGTAAAGTACCTTTAATGTGATTTTATATGAATTACCTCCTATACATATTGCCATTTATTTACTACAGAGATTATGTAATGCTTATTAGAAGATCTTGTTTTTCGGGTCCATAAGAACCTTTAATGATCACTGCATTGTCTTTCTCCTAATGTTTTGGAATAGCAGCCAACGTGTTATCTGTGAACCCCCATAGCCAGAAGCAGTCTGATGGGCTCTTGCCATACTGAGATTTAAGTCACATTTGCATTTTTCTCTTGTGTTTGATTGTGTGTTCCTGTTTTCAGTACACAAATAATGAATATCTTTCACATGAAAGTGAACTTCATTACAACTGTTAGAAGAATATGTAATTTAATTTCATACATAAACTATGCTTTAACTTGTAACCAGTATTTTCTTCCTTGTCAGATGTAAGAGCTAAAATTTTCTGGTTAGTCTTCCTCATGGCTTAAAGGCTACCTTGGCTCTGGTTTACTGAGACATAGACTTTCATAGTTCATTCCCATGACTTCCATGTGGATTCCTACAGTAAACTACATTATGAGAGTGAAAAGGATATTACAGAAGTAATATGTCAATGTTAAGAAAGTTGAAAGCCCCAAATGCCTGCCACCCATGATCACTTACGTCTATGTCTGTGCCGCAGGTAGATTCTGCTTGTCCACAGCTGTGCTTGCTCTGCTTCTCTAATCCCCTTCATTAAGTTCAGTATAAATCTAAGGATGGACATATGGATAAAACTAAACTCAAGATTCTTAAGGAACTGATGCTGTGGCCACTGCACTTTAAATTCTTGCAGCACAAGGGTAAGGAATATCAGATATATAGCATCTTGGATGTCAGCTCTTCGCTTTAGAATGAGCAATGAGGGCAGGGTAAGACAGTGAGTATGGAAAAATGGTATATGATTTAATGGTATATGATTTAGACACATTTTTCTGAAACAAGTCAAAAAACTTAAGTGATGAGATACATTCTGAAAAATAAATTATTTGAAATGGTTCATTTTAGCAAAATAGTACACTGACAGAATTTTTTAAAGAATAAAAAATGATGAATTAAAAATCTTAACCATCAGAACTGAGAATTTTGAAACTGAGAATTTTAAAGTTTATAACAATTACTACCAGTGGAGCAGAAACAGATTTCAGTCTAATGAAAGCAGTAAGTGACACTATACAGCTTCATTATGATTAGTAGATGTTTAATTAAGAAGACAAAGAGTACTCATCTAAACACACTTATAAATAATGGACTAACTTGTCAATGTCCCATTTTGCATATGCAAAGATGTTTGTCTTTTATCCTTGTTGATAGCAAATCATTCTGTGGTCATTACTAATATGCATTTCTGAGGAGAGCAATTCAACCATTTAAAGGAGTACTGTGTTGAAAACTTTATTCCACTTCTCATGATTTATAAAATTGTCTCATTTTCCTTTCTCTTATGGAGTTAGCCACCAACTTGCCAGCAGTCTGGATATTAGCTCTCTTGAGTATTGGATGTCCACTCACTATAATACAAAATATATGATTACATTAATAAATATTCAATCAATTAACACAATGGAAATACATGATGGTTTCCAAAATCCTAGTATATTACAGCAAATGAATTTTGGTTGTGCTAAAGCATGCCAAAAAATTGAACTGCACATCTTTCCTTCATTTTTATTGTGTCACTTTTTATATCTTGCCAACTGACTTGTTGGCCAAAGTCACTGTTGGACCAAAGAGTTGAGAGAAGGGGCTGGAGAGGTGAGTCAGTGGTTAAGAGCACTGCTGCTCTTCCAGAGGACCTAAGTTCATTTCCCAGCACCCAAGTCAGGTGACTCACAGTGGCTGGTAACTCCAGCTCCTGGGGATCCACTGCCCTCCTCTGGCCTCTCTAGGGGCCCTCACATAGTAGCATACAGTCACACATACGTACATAAACATAAATAAGAATAAATCTTTTAAAAATGTGTTGAAAGAAATGATGTCAGGAACTGAGTTTCATTGATATATAGAATACTTGAAATAAATTAGATGTAACATTTGCTCAATCACAAGAACAAAGATGTTAAAAATGATAGTATAATATTAATTCAAATATTTAATCATTGTAAGTCACTACTGTATACAGTGCCCATATCTAGTCCATGTCTGTCTGTAAGGTGACATTCTGAAATAAAGATGAAAGTCATATATTTACTGAAGTCACCATTATACATAGCAATAATCTACAGATAGACTTACGCAGCCTTGTTATTCAGGTACTATAGTTATTGTTAAAAAAAACCAACCTTCATAAATCCATTAGTTTTGAGGACACTCTGTGTTGCATACAGGCTATGAACAACTTGACTTGTGTTCATGTACAGCTCCACTGACAGTAGACAAAAGTTCAGGTCTCACACAAGCAAAATGAAATTAAACAATGACAGCAAAGGATCTGAACAAGTGTCACTCTCAAAAAAGACAAGTGGAGCATACATATGTGGAAAGATGGTCAGTGTCACTGACCACCAGAGATGAGAAGCAAAGCTCTGAGATCATTGCTCCTGCACATAGATGCAGCTAGGACCAAAACGTCTAAAAATGCTAAAAGAGAAAAACGTTGGTGAGGATGTGGATAGGGGACAATTTGAATACTCATGGCAGGAATATGGATTGCTGCAGCCATTTTGCAAAACAGAACAGTAATTCCTAAGGATATTAAAAACAAAGCTGTCCTATGATGCAGCAATCCCTCTTCTGTGCAAATAGCCAATGAATGATTGAACTGACCATGTTATACAGATATCTCCAGTTTCATTTTCACTACAGCACTATTCACAATGGCTAAGATATGAGCATAGGTGTCCAACTAGCAGACGGATGACCAATCTATGCAATGGAATGTTAAACCTCTGACAAGGAGATCCTGATATTTGTCACACCATGCTACAAGAAATATAGAAACCGGAGGACATTGAACTCCATGAAATGATCTTAGTTATATGCGGAAATTTCTTAAGTTCAAATATAAATAGAAATGAGTCTGGACACAAGGAGTCTGGGCATGGGCAATAGGCGGGTATAGCTCCCTGGTTACAAACAGGAGAAATGAACAATGAAGAACTGTGAGGAGATAATGTGCAGCATGAGAGCAGTAATTAATAAAATTGCACTGCATTTGGGATTCCTGCCAAATGAGTAGATTTTAGCTGTTTTGTCAAAAACAAAAAGTAAGTGAAAAATGAGCATGTCTATGAGGTGACGGGTATATTAATTTGCTCTGCCATAGTTACCGTTTTACTATCTACATGTATCCCACAACACTATGCTGTATGTGCCTTAAATACGCATAATAAAATTTATTCTAGAAATAAACAAGTTAGACCACCTTAGAAAAATTTATAAAATAGTAAATTTTAGTGATCACTCCCACTGTGGCCATAGGAAAACAGCTACACTCACCAGGCTCCTAATTTAGTGCACTGAACATGAGTTGAGCATGTATTTTAGATGTGATCTTAATATAAAATGTTTCCTATTATGAATATTTTAACAATATGCAATGTCAAACATGTATCTCATCATTTGAATATAGAACATTGTACCTTTCCCTTGATATTTCTATAAATAAAATGATGACTATGGAATCTATTAATTAAAAAGAAGATACAATTCACGCTTAGCAAGTATTCAAAATACAGTTTAAGTATTATTGTCTGTAGTATGATATTATGAGCTTTCAAAAGAAATTTCACTGACAGTTAATGTGCTGTTCATAAACATTTAAATTAAATAAAGCACCACTTCCCCGTATAAATACACATGACATAGTTTTAATCTTCAAAGTAAATATTCTTGACCTTCATTTGTGTCATATAGCAGAAGAGATTCACAAAATAATCTTTCTGATTAAAAAACAGTCAAATTCTGAATAAAATATTAAGTGAATTTTAACTCCCTTGCTAAGTTGGCAGATGGGAAAGAGTGCAGCCAAAGCCAGGGTGAAATCAGTAACATCAGCAGGAGTCTGAGGGGTAAGGCCAGGTTTTAGCCCAGGTTTTTCTGTTAAGCCCTGGGTATCTGAATTACTGTATGTGAGGGGAACGTGGACAGGAGGGCACAGTTTCCCACCTGTGGGACCACCCTAGAGGGGCACCTCAGAAGAGTATATCGTCTGAAATGAAAAGGGAGGAGAAGGAATGGGATAGGGAAGCTGAGCAAGATGGAGGAAGAAAGAAAAACTTCAAGACCAGGTGGCAATGGAGAATGCTTCCTGTTTCCTACGTTCTGAGCAGACAGACCCTATCACTACAGCTAACCCCTGGCTTGACGTCCCAGTCCAGGTCACTTGTGTGGCCCTGAAATACCCCAAATTTAAAATCTGTTTGCCTCGAAGAAGAAATGAAGAAATTAGTTTCAACCAAGCTCACTGAAATTTGTCATTGAGGCCTATTTCATGAAATCTCAGATTTGTTCCTGAATTTGCAAAGAAGAAGAGGGTTACATGGCAGTATCTATAATACAGCACCAGTTTTACAAAGTCATACACATAGCAAAGTGTAAAATATTAATACCAAAGTAGTTTGTATGATAAGAATTTAGCTTTATATTTTTCTTTGTATGTATATTTTCAACAAAAATATTATTTATATGAAAATGAGAATAATTTTAAGTTTCTAGAGTAGAACATATAAAAAGTCATTCCCATTGTATATAATTAAGAAATAGCCAGGCGGTGGTGGCTCACGCCTTTAATCCCAGCACTCGGGAGGCAGAGCCAGGCGGATCTCTGTGAGTTCGAGGCCAGCCTGGGCTACCAAGTGAGTTCCAGGAGAGGCGCAAAGCTACACAGAGAAACCCTGTCTCGAAAAACAAAAAACAAAAAACAAAATAACAACAAAAAAAAAAGAAATAATCAGCAATTAGATTTTCTGTTTATACTTCAATAAGTTAAAGGATGTCAAGTTGTAAAAATATTATAGAATAAATAGTATTTCAGTGTTTATCATTTAAGTTGTGTTTTTAGAAATATTATATTATGTTTTTTTCTCTAGGATTAAAAATTACTCTGCCTTCTGTTTTTCCTAAACCATCTACAAATTAGACATTCACAATTCTATCTTCATCATGAAAATTCCTTGACCCATCCCAGGATACATATTATTCTACAGCATTGAGCACTTCATTTTACTACTTTATAAATCTTTATCAAGTGACTTGGAAAGAAAAAAAAAAACCCAGAGCTTGTGTTCCAAAATACTTGACATATGTAGGTCATGGACAATCTATTGGGTCTGAGTTTTCAAAGCTCATGGTAAGGGACATTATCTGGAGTCATTATAGATCTTGGTTTGTTTCCTAGACCAAAGACAAACAGAAAGTAAAATTCTACAATCATGTTTTCATGAGATTTAGCTAAAACAAATGAAAGTAGTACCTAATGTGGTCTTCCCAATTAGAAGACGGTCAGAGGCAATAAATAAAGATCTAATTAATTAATTATGTTAGTTTTGTTAAGGCTCAAATGTCCAGGCTTAACTTAGCTGTATATGTCATCAGATTTCAGGGAAGCAGGTGCCATGAGCAGCAATGGAGCATACTCAAAGAACATAACTGCAAAATGCCAAGAAGTCTCTTTGGGGGGAAAAATATAGTCAGCAAGAGAATAGTGAAGACGGCACTTAGTATTTGTGGCTTCTATGCACTCTGGATGGTGTCTCCATATTTTAGATTGTTTCTTTACATTCTTATTCATTTTTTTCTCATCCCACACATAGGGAGATCGGGGGCACTACTTTATGGTGAGAAGGCTTCAGTGGGAAAATGGAAAGAGGTAAAAAGTTCATTCTCCCACATGATGTCACAGAAGACAAGTACCTCAACAACCTGGATAGGGTGACGGTGGTGCAAAGACAGGAGAGGGGCTTCTTCCTTCACTGGGTTGACTTTGCTCCATGTGAGTCACTGGAGTGTGGTGGTATTGCATTCCCCCAAAAATTGTGTACCCTAATAAACTTATCTGGGGTCAGAGACAGAACAGCCACTAGATACAAAGGCTAGAAAATGGTGGCACTCCACACCTTTAATCCTAGCACTCCAGAGGTAGAAATCCCTCTGGATCTCTGTGAGTTCAAGGCCACACTGGAAACAGCCAGGCATGGTGGTACACCATGCCTTTAATCCCAGAAAGCAAGCCTTTAATCCCAGGGAGTGGTGGTAGAAAGCAGAAAGGTATATAAGGCGTGAGGACCAGAAACTAGAAGCCTGGTTAAGCTTTCAGGCTTCTAGCAGCACAGTTCAGCTGAGAGCCATTCGGATATGAGGACCCAGAGGCTTCCAGTCTGAGAAAGCAAGACCAGCTGAGAAGTTGGCCAGGTGAGGTTAGCTGTGGCTTGTTCTGTCTCTCTGACCAGCCAGCATTTCACCCCACAACTGGCCCCGGGTTTGATTTTATTAATAAGAATTTTTTAAGATTCCTGCTACACTGGAGCATGACCTTGGCGGGTGAAAGTGGCAACAGAGGCAGCAAAACACC